AGCAATAGTATGAGGTGCTGTGAATGGAGGAATTTCTAGCTCTATTAACGTAGGCAGGCAAAAGGTCATGGCAGGGATAGGGTTGGGACTAGACAGAGTGGGTTGGCATATACAATAAGTGTACATGCCTTATCTTGGCCTCAGGTGTAGGGTATGGGCGGACGAGGTCCTGCCTCTCAAATCTGACATCCACCACTGAAATACCTCGAGGCTAATGGAACATAGACAAATGCAAACCAGATAGCATTCTTGTTTGTGTCTGCTTTAGAATTCATGAAAACCACAAGGTGAACAGCACTGTGGAGATGGTACCACAATATTTCCATGATGAAAAAAAAATAGTGTTCTCAGTTCCACTGTGTGACTCAAATGCCATATTTCTTTTACCAGTGGGGATCCAATGACATTCTGGAAACTAAGTATGAAATGTGATTCTGCATCCCCAAAGAACTGCTGTGTGTGTGTGTGTGTGTGTGTGTGTGTGTGTGTGTGTGTGTGTGTGTGTGTGTGTGTGTGTGTGTGTGTGTGTGTAGGGGAAGTCAGCAGGAGGAGGCAGTCTCTAATGAAGCCCCTTTGTGAAACAGAATGCAACAGGCAGAAGTTCCAGGTGGTCCTTAGGCCCATGACCTCAGGCAGTAAAGTACAAGCCTCGTTCTATTTCTAATCTGAAAAATGAAGTTAAAACTTTGCCCATTTCTTACTAGATTGCCATCAGGATAATTCAACAATACTTTCTCAATAACAGCAATAAGTTTAATTAAACAAGAACAATAGGGACCATGTGTTGGGAACTTGTTAGGTATAAGCACTATCCCACACACTTCAAATTTATTATCTCATTTTCACAGCATAAAAATGAGGACGCTATTAGGATTATCATTATTTTACAGGCAAATGCGGGCCCAGGGCTACCAACAGAAGACAGAGTAAAACTTAAGAGACTATGACAATTCACACATGATGGAGGTGGGAGGGAAAAGGGAATGAGAAGGGGAGAAGGAAGAAAATATGAAGGGGAAAAAGGAGAGATGAAGGCAGAAAGCAAGGAAGGCTGGAGAGAGGAAGAGGGAGAGGCAGAGCAGAAGAGAAGGAAAAGGAGTCTGAGTCCTGGGAGGTGCAAGAGCAAGAGATCCTTGCAGGCTAGGGGTGGCAAACAGGGTCTCGGGAGAATGTGGGGAGCCAGCAGCTTCCGGCCAGGAGCAACAGGGAGAGCAGGAAAGGATCTTTGAGAAAGACAGAGTTGTTATTGGCATACCTTTACATATTCTTACAGACTTAACAAAAAGAACAGGATTTCTTTGAGGATTTATTTTGCCTGATTATACTGTGGGACCTAAGCCACAGGTTTTACTAGGTCACCTATCCATACCAACACATGTGTATTTTATACTGCAATGAACCTGGGAAAGTCAATTGGTCATTTTTTTCCCCCACTATAAAACGGGGAAAACAATAGCACCCCTGCACAAGGAGTTGTTGTGGCATAGTACGTTAAGCTACTACTTGTGATACTGGAATCTCATATCAGAGTGCTGGTTCAAGTCCTTGCTGCTCCACTTTCTGAACCAGCCTCACTGAACTGTGCCTGGCAAAGTAGCAGAAGATGGCTCAAGTATTTGAGCCCTGATCACCCATGTAGGAGGCTTGGATAGAGTTCCTGGCTTCTGGTTTTGGTCTGGCCTAATCCCAGCCACTGCGGCCATTTGGGGACTGAATGGGTAGACAGAAGATCTCTGTTTCTTCCTGCTGCTCTGCCTTTCAAATAAATAAATTTAAAAAAACTGTTTATTAAATTACAACGTAAACTGTTTTAAAACTGGCCATGACACATACAAACTAAAAGCCACTGTCATCCTGGAACCACTGCTTCCTGGAGTTTTAGTTTGCTGAATTCATATACTTGCTGCCCACTCCTACCTGGAAATGCATCAGGCCTGACCAGCCCCACCTCCAGTCTGTCTGCTTGACGTTTCACCTTGTTCCATCCCTCCAGGCAAAAATCTGGAGTTTTAATTTCTTGATCCTTATCCTTTTGCCTCAACAACCAGTTAATCACCAGGTCCCTTCATGCCTCTCTACTGCCTTTTTTTTTCTGGCCTGTTGATGTGGACACTCCCATCTTATGTGTGGTCTGTTGCTGTGGCTTCCTAACCTCCTTTCCCTTTTTCAGTCTCTTCCTTCATTAATCCACAATGCCGTGACATTAACTTCCTGGGTCGGTATCACAAAGGGCAGCTCTCCCAACATCCAAACGGCAGATCCTTTATGTGGGGAGCCCATGGGGCTCCAGGACATGAAAGAATGTAGATCCCTTGACCTGGGGTCAGGGTATCTGGTGTCTGTAACTGACAGGCTGTGGGCGGCTTAGGCCAAATAGAGCTTTGCCTTCTTTCTATACATGTGCCAGATTTACTTCTCAGGGCCTCCATGCTTGTTTGGAACTTTCTATCCCATCACCTTTCCATGGCTACCCAAATCCGAGAAGCTGTGTCTCCTTGTCCCTAAATTAGCCTCTTTTAACTTTCCTGTTTCATTTTCCTTCCAGCTCTGACCCACTGCGACTGTGCAGTCAACTTCTGGTTGCCTTGTTTGCTGCCTGCACCCTGGTGGAGGAAACTTCCTGAGAATGAGGAAAGGGAAGGAACTGGGCTCTGAGTTGCCTCCTGATTCCATCAGGCATTGCAGTGCTTCCAAGCCTTGTGTGTCCACCCATCAAGAGAAAATTGATTACTACTGTCTTCAGCCCAGCTCTACAGAATGCAAGTCCACTCCCACCAAGTCCAGCTGCTTGCTCACACTGATTCCTGCTGCTTGTAGGTATGAGAAAGAACACTTGTGAGGTCTTTGCCAGGCAGGAAGATCATGCCTCGATAAGCCTGTGCTTCCCAGGTGGCTATCATGGTGCCATCTATGAGATTAAATGTGGGCTTGGACACTGTTGTGGCCACTGGGTTCTCCCAGAAGTTTCAACATTGTTCTCAGATTCCTTTCACTGGAACCTTCCCCCTCCCCGCTACTAGAGAGCAGAGTGATAGAGAAAGCCCAGAGAGGAAAAGGAGAGAAGGGCCTTTATTCCCCAGGGGGACCATGCTATAGTCCTTGAGAATCACAATCCTAGTAATTCCCAAGCAATCATGTCTCTACTCAGGATTAAAAAAAATGGAAAAAGAAATTCCATGGGAACAGTCCATGTTTGTTTCCAGAATGGAAAGAGAATAGTCCTCCAATGTCACAGTGATTTTCCTGGGTTATACATAGGACTGAAGATCATGGGCAAGGAAGAGTTAGCCTTGTAGTGGTAGTGAACACACACTCCTGGAGAATGCTGAGCCCTGTCAGCGTGGGTGTGCTCTGTAGCACTGATCATCCGGTTGACAGAATACAAGGTACCCAGCTGCCTCCTTGACTAATGGCAACCAGAGACATCCAAAGGCCCATGGTTTGCACAACATGTGAAGACTAGGTCAGGTGCTACCTGCTCCAGGTTTTAAGAATACATGTGCTAATTAAAATGAATAAACACTTGTAAAAAGTTTAGCACAGATCTTTTCAATGAAAAGATACTCATCAAAAGACACACATTTTATTTCTAGTACTGACATTACCATGAAACAGGTTAATTCTGATGATCTGAAGGGCTTTCTGGAGTTGTCTGGCTTTTCTGCCATGCCCATTCCCATGCTCACAACACCTTGTACAATGCCTGGCATAAGGTAAGTCCTTAGAAAATGTTTCATGGAAACAGGACTGAAAAACTGTGTCCTTCTGTTCCCTTTCCTCTTTCTAGAGGCTCTAGCTCCATGACCAAAGCCAAAGCCAAAGTCATGGGCAAGTGCTTCCTCTCTAGAGCCAGCTTCCAATGTGGCCCCTTGAAGGAGCAACAGGTGCTAGGGTTCCATGGCAGCAAGTGGCTTTCTCACTCCAGGCTAGCCTTGGACATGCTCTCAGTCACCAAATTACTCAGTATTTGCAGGAACCAATGCCTGACCTGGGACTAATTTCTCCCATGGAATTAGCACTCTGTGCATAAAATATTAAATTTTATATTTAACGCTATTGGTCACAGATGCCTTATCAGACCTGAGAAGGCCAGGATGGTTTTCCCCTGTGAGGCAGCTGAGGTTTAGCAAAGAAATGTGTGTATGATGTCCAGGTGAGTGGCATGATAGCCAGAGATTAATGCTGCTCATCCAAAGGCTCCAAAACAGGGCCTGGGAACCCGAGGGCTCTACTTGCAGCCCCGTCTCCACACCTCAGGATCCACAGGACCCACCCAGGAACAAAGAGACACGGCTGGATGTAATTCTCTGAGACTGTTTTCTTCTCTCCCTCTCTCCTTTTATTTAGCTTTTCCAGTGTATCTGTATATAGTTCAGTCTTGGAGTTAATGCAAACATTTGCAAATAAGAAGCTTTTGTATACTTATCTCATTCACCACTTAGTGGACATGTTGAAACTCAATGGCAAACAGCCCCTGTTCTGGAACCCTGATTTTTGGTAGGAAGGATTGCCCATGAAGGCCTCAGACTTTCCCAGGAGACTAAACACAGCCCTGGGTGTAAAGCAGGAAAGGCAGTCAGTCTAACACCTGCCCCCTCCCCAGCAAGGCCAGGAAAGTACTATGGAGGGAGGTGGAAGCCAGCCAGGGCTTGTTTAGTTCAGTTAATTTTTTTCTCCTGTTTAATTGTCCAAGGGCAGGTCCTTAAACAGTAGTGTGGCAGTCTCAACGTTGAATCAACTTTTTTCTCATCTGCACAATAAACTCTGGAATCCTTTGGCTGTTGCTAGTAGTGATAAATCGGCTGTGGAAGGCCCTCAATTTGCCCCGTGGATTGGAATCAGGGGTTAAGCTGGCAATTGCCACTGCATGCCTTCTGTGGACAGCATAGGCTCTTCCAATGCTTTAAGGCATCGTAAGCAGGAGGCTGTTCTGGAGAGCACATACAAATAGAGTAACCTAAGTCCTGTCTTCACCGTGTTTTCAGAAGTCAGGGGCCTACCTTTCTCTCCTTGTCACCATATTCGATGCCCAAAGTGTCCATGGCCCGGACGATGGCCGCCAGAGACTGGATGGTGTTGCTGTAGACAACAGGCTTGTACTGTTTCACGTCTTCCCCAGAGAAGCCATCTTCATGGATGATCCTGGAGACAAACCATACATACCCAGTGAGTGCACTGTCTTTTCCCAACATAAAGAGCATCAGCCTTTTGTGCAGTTCCTGGGCCACCCTCTGGCCTGGTGGGAAGAGGGCAAGGACCCAGGGGGACGATGGCTTATTGAGTCACTAAAGCCATAAGATTCTAGAAAAAAAATCTCCAAATTCCTGAAAATTAATATTGGGAAAAATAAATGTGGCCTTTCCATGTTCCCTACACACAGTGAAAGAATTACCAGTCAATAAGGTATTGATAATAACTGAAGGCACTTATAACAGGAGGGACTTATAGGCAGCATTCAACAAATGTTAACTTTTGGTATTATGAGCCACACTTAGAATCTTGGCAGAGATGTCCTTCAGTATTGACAGGGGACTGTTTCCAGGATCCCTCAATTACCAAAATTCATGCATGATGAAGTTCCTTTTATAAAATGGTAGAGTATTCACATGTAGCTACCACATATTTTCTCAACTGTAAGTTACTTATAAAACCTAAAACAATGTAAATCTTATCTAAATAGCTGTTAGACTGTATTATTTAGGGAATGATGGCATGGGAAAACATTTGTTTTAGCATGGACTATTGTTTCTGAGATATTTTAAAAAGTTTTTTCAAAAATTATTTTTATTGGAAAGTCAGATCTACAGAGAGAAGGAGATAGAGAGAAAGATCTTCAATCTGCTGCTTCAATTCCCAAGTGGCCAAAAAGGCTAGGGCTGAGCCCATCTGAAGCCAGGAGCCAGGAGCTATTTCTGGGTTTCCCACATGCGTGCAGGATCTCAAGTCTTTGGACTGTCCTCCAATGCTTTCCCAGACCACAATCAGGAAGCTGGACGGGAAGTGGATCAGCCAGGATACAAACTGGCACCCATATGGTATCCTGGCACATGCAAAGTGAGAACTTTGGCCATGAGGCTACCATGCCAGGCCCTACAAAGTTTTAATTAAAAAACAAACAGAAAAACATTTGAGAGGCAGAGAAGTATAGATGAAGTTGAGCCATTAAGTTAGGAGCTGGGAATTCAATGTAGGTCTCCCATGTGAGTGACACAGCTCCAAATACTTGAGCCATCATCTCCTGCCTCCCAGAGTACACGCACATTAGCAGGAAGCTGGCATCGAGAGCAGTGTTGGGACTCTATTCCAGGAATCCTAACTAGGGCTTAGCCATTACATTAAACACTCCCCCAGCTGCCACTGCTGTTTTGAGTATTTTTAATCTGCCATTGGCTGAATCCAAGAGTGTGGAACCTGTGACTATGGAGGGCCAACTACATACTCCCAGAGGTATTCTGTTGAAGTGAGGCATCTACAAAAGAATAATGCATCCTGCTTTCACAGAAGGCTCACAGTGCTTTTAATGAAGACAGGATGATTCACTTAACAAGAACAAATAACCATCGTCATCTTTGACAACAGAAAAGCAAACAGAAGGAGTTTGCCTGTTCTTCCAATCTTGGCTAGGATGCAGTTACTGTGGTATCCATATTTGGTGATCTGAGCAGTGATACCACAGTTCTAGAGGCTACTCAATACACCTTCACTGCCAAAAAGGATCTGGGGACAGGAGGAAAAGCTAGAAAGGGGATCACACCAAAACTGTGCAAGAATCCTCTTATAATTAAAATAATCACAAAAGAGCAAATACCTTTTAAGAATATCCTCCAACATGAGTTATCCTACAGAAAAATATGTTAACTCTTCTATGGTCAGATTTTTAAAGTCTAAGATAGGATACTACTTGCAACATGAACATGTGCCAATATGATAGCTGGCGCCTCACTTCACAGTATCACAGCCTCACTCAATATGACACTTACCATTAACACAGGAAAAATTTGCAAACAATTACTGAAAAAAAAACCCCCCAGATTATTAAGCCGTAATTTATAGGAGCTAGTATTATGGCATAGTGTGTAAAGTTGCTACCTATGGTGTTGGCACTCCATGTGGGCACCAATTTGAGTCCTGGGAAAAGCAGCGGGAGATGGCTTACTTGTATCCCTGATATCCACATGGGAGACCTTAATGATAATCCTGACTCCTGGCTTTAGCCTAGCCCACCTCTAGCAGCTTGGTCCAGCTCTGGACATTGCTGCCATCTGGGAAGGGATCCAGTGGAAGGAAGGCCTCTCTCTCCTTCTGTCACACCCAGCCCCCTTCTCTGCAACCCTTTCAAATAAATAAATCTTTTTTAAAGGATGTAATTCACAAACCACATAATTTATCAATTTTTTTTTAGCATTTTAAACTTTCATTTTATTTCAAATGAAAAGAGACACATAGAGAAAAGAGAAGACACATCTTCTATTCACTTGTTTACTCCTCAGATACCTACAATACCTGGGGCTGGGTCTCACTGAAATCAGGATCCAGCAACCCAATCCAGGTCTCCTACATTAGTGACAGGGATCCAAGTACTGAAGCCAATACTTGCTACCCTCCCGGGTATGCATTAGCAGAAAGCTGGGAAGCAGACCCAGGCTAGAACCCAACGGTTCTGATATGGATGTGGTTATGTTATCCAGTGACTTAACAGCTGTGCCAAATGCCTGTCTTAATCTATTTAATTCAAAGTACACAATTCAATGTATACTAGTATAGTCACAAGGTTGGGCACTACAATCTAATTTTTAAAAATCTTTTATTTATTTATTATTATTATCATTTTATGACACAGTTCCATAGGCTCCTGGGATTTTCCTTATCCTTTTCCCTTTCAGTTCCCCATATCATTACTATAGTGTAGTTCTTCATATACAGTCATATGTCCATCCTTGTGGACATGGACAGTGGCAAAAGTCCAGCATCCTATTGTCAAGATATAGCACACAGTTTCATTGCAAGTCCATCTTTGTCTGGAAGCAGAGATGCATACTATAGCGTATCCTCACATCTGGATATGTTAGTCTCCATTTCTTAGTTACTGTATATCCCCTTAAATGAAAAGTCACAATACAAAATCAACAATAGGAAGAAAAATAGAAATTTACAATGCCATGAAGTTAAATGACATGTTACTAGAGATGACAGTCTCCATTACACAGCTACTATATATCCCCTTAAATGAAAGGCCAGAAAAAAAATCAACAACAGGAAGAAAAAAGAAATTAACACCATGAAGTTAAATAACATGCTACTGAATGACTAGTGTGTCACTGAAGAAATGAAAAAGAGAATCAAGAATCTTCTTGAAGAAAATGATGCTACTGTATGATCTGTGAGTCATTCAAGAATTTAATCGGAAAAAAGTGTTATGAAGAGATGAAACTAACAAGAAAAAAAAATCAAAATCCATGATATAGTTTCTGTTGATTTTTGTTGGTGAAATGTGTCTCTTCTAGACAGCAAATAGATGGATTTTGCTTTTTAATCCAGTCTACTAATCTATAATGTTTGATTGAGCTTAAACCACTTACATTCAGGGTTAAAATGTATGGGTGGTAATTTGGTCCTGTTATTTTAGCAATGAATTGTTCATTGATTTAGTCTTCTGTTGTCATTTTACTGGGATGTTCTTCACATTTGCCTTTGGTTTTGTTGGGTGCTATTCCTCTTCTCTGTCAAAAGAACATCTTGAAGTATCACTTGTAGGGCAGGTTTGGAAGAGACAAATTCTTTTAACTTTTCTTTACTGTGGAAGAATTTTATTTCATTTTCAAAGACAAAAGAAAGCTTTGCTGGGTATGTTATCCTGGGCCGATAATTTCCTTTCTTTTAGAATCTGGAATATGTCACTCCATTCTCTTCTGGCCTGTAGAATTTCCTTTGAGATGTCTCCTGTGAGTTTAGTTGGCATTTCTTTAGATGTCATTTGATTTTTTTCCACGTGAACATTTAAGGATTTTTTCCTTATGTTCAACTGAAGAGAGCTTGATGATCATGTGTCTTGGTGAAGATTGCTTTTGATTAAGCCTGTTGGGAGTTCTATGCCCTTCCTGGATTTTGTTTCCCAATTCTTTCTCTAGATTAGGGAAATTTTCCATTATTATTTCATTAAATATATTTGTAATACCAGTTTCTCTTTCTACACCTTCTGGGACTCCCATAACTCTTATATTTGGCCTTTTAATAGTGCCTTTCAATTCTTGAATACTTTTCTGGCCTGATACAGCTCTGTTTACAGCTTTTTGTTTGCTTTCCCCTGGTGACAGGAAATATCTTTCAATTCTGAGATTCTTCTGCTTGCCTCAATCTATTTTGGAGATTCTCCACTGTACTTTTCATTTGCTCTACTGTGTTCTTAATTTCTGCTATATTAGCCTTGATTTGCTTTATTGCTGCTATTTCTTGTGTAACATATTTCTTAAATTCTTTAAACTCATGTATGTGCTTCTCATTGTTCATCAGAAGCTTTACAATGAGTTTTCTGAATTCTGTGTCCCCCATTTTCTCAATGTCTTTCTCAGTTAACTCTGAGGTTGGCATAGGGTTTTGCTCTTTTGCAAGGGAGTCTTCAGTAATACTCATTGTGTCTCTGTCTCTTCTTTTGTTCTTGATCATTGTACTTTCAATTTTCAGATTCTTCTCCTTGGAGCAGGTTTCTAAGCTGTGTCACCCACAGGTCTACAGTTCAATTTTCTTACTGCAGTTGGTACACAGCTCGGCTTGCAGTCAATTGTGACACTCTCTCCAGCAAGTTCCAGGTCTGGATTCTTATGTTAGATTTCTACCATGGTCTCTGTAGCCCCACTCCTGGCCTACCACTCTCCACCTTCTATGATATCACGCTGAGGTTTCACTGTTGTCTCTGCAACCTTTTTCCCTCTTCTGGTTGGAGCAGGTACCAGGATTAGGGAGACACCAGGTATCCTATATAGCTAGGTTGTTGGTGGTGCTGATCTTGCTGGAACCTGTTGGCTGTTAGGTCTGGGTGCCACACGGACCAATTGTCATCCATATGATGCCACCATCGGTATTATTTTCCTGTGGGACCGGTGCAATAGACTGAATTCAATGAGTTCTCGCAAGATCAGCACATG